ATTGTATAATTTCGAAATTTGAAGCAAAAACAGAATGGTTTGACTTCAGTTTTGTGAAACTATACATAAAAATATCTGCATGAAATAGCAGACGAGCTGAATGAGACGCAGATTCACTCTCTCCAGCAGGTGGCGCTTAAAGCGTTTCCGCTGTAAACAAAGAAGCGCTGCACATATGAACTAGATGCAAGATGAAAAGAAAAAATACCATCTAAACTTTTCTAAAGACAGTAAGTTCCCCTCAGACACACATTCATATAAACTCTTACCCCTAAATGAATCGTGATTTGTTTAGCATCTCAACCGATTTGAATCGTCACATATTTAAATCGATTTTCAACCGGCTCGCGGTTAATCGTTACATCCCTAGTTATAGCACATAAGCATGTGTACTTGATCCCAGATGAAGCTGTCCTTACTTTGGTTTGGTTTTCCTACTGAGATAGTAGCTGTTTTCTATAAGTACACTGTTCAAAAGCAAGATTGTAATCAAAACTAAGCAGATGTATTACATGTCTTAGATGTAGTAAAGGTTACCCTGCAGTGCTATATTTCCGGGTGTGGGGTATCCAAAATACAAACCAAGTATATTGCTCTGTGTAGAACAGCTTTATAATGGCATTGAAGAATCGGTTCACCCAAAAATGTATGTTGTACTCACCCTCAGGCCATCCAAGATGTAGTTGAGTTTGTTTCTTCATTGGATCAGATTTGGAGAAATTTAGCATTATATCACTTGCTCACCAATGGATCCTCTGCAGTGAATGGGTGCCGTCAGAATGAGAGTCCAAACAGCTGAGAAATACATCACAATAATCCAGTTCAAGTAATGAAAGTAATCCACAAGCTGTTTGTTCATGAGAAACAAATCCATTATTAAGCCATGATTAACTTCAAACTATTGTTTCCGTTGTTTAAAGACGAGTTCTCTATTCATAATATTGCATTCTTCAGTTAAAAAGTCATCTGAATCAGGAGAGAAATATACACAGATCAAGCACCGTTTACAAGCCAAAACAGTTCTAAACAAATATGTCATGGATTTTAAAGTGAGAGGACAACAGTGGATGGACTTTTTGACTGGAGGAAGCATTATTATGGATTATGGACTCATATTTTGGCCAGGAGTTTAAAGTTAAAACACCTTAATGATAGATTTTATTTATTTTGTTAAATGTGCAGCTTTTCACTTCACAAGATGTTAATTGATGGACTGGAGTGGTGTGGATTACTTGTGGATTATTGTGATGTTTTTCTCAGCTATTTGGACTCTCATTCTGACGGCACCCATTCACTGCAGAGCATCCACTGGTGAGCAAGTGATGGATTGATACATTTCTCCAAATCTGTTCTGATGATAAAAAAAAAAACTCATCTACGTCTTGGATGGCCTGAAGGTGAGTACAGTTTCATTTTGGGGCGAACTATTCCTTCAATCGAACTGGTAACTAATATATAAAGCTGGGGAAAGCATAATTCACATTGCATTAATAGACTTTTCAAAAGTGCACTTGTTTAAGTTCTTCAAGTGAGCCTTTGGAGTCACTAGAATAAAGGATATTATGATTTTTTTTCCCACATGTATAAAAGTTATTAGCTTGAATCTTTAAAAAGAAAACACAAAGTAAGATTTTTTTTTACTGATACACTAAACCCAATGGTTAATGAGAGCACATTATATCAGAGAGAGAGAGAGAGAATATTGTCACATACCTATAATTTATTTCACATATTAAATATTCTTTACACAATATATGTACTATGGCAGTGAAAGTCTAAAGATTGTTTGAACACTGTCCTTTGAATATTTGGTGGTGTATAAAGTGTGATGTGTTCGCTTGATGCATCACTTAAGTGCTTTTTAAAGTGAAATGGACTAGTTGTAATGTTTCTTTGATACATCATTAAATTATAGTAAACATCTGTCATTTATTAACTGTAAGATGTTGGTTATGGTGTGATGTAAAGGTACAAGAAAAAGGGAAAGTGCTAAATTGCTTTCACATCTTCAATTGTGTAAAATATTGTCTTGTAAGCACAGAGGATCTAGTAATGAGCACACTAAGCATTTATATTACACCAAATCTGTGCTGTTGGTCACATTGCTCATGCACAAGCCCCTAAATGAATGTCAGTGTCATTTCAAGACATTAGGCAATGTTGTAATGCTTTTTCAACAGGACAACCTGAACTGAGCAAGTCACTGTATTGAGAAAGTTTGGACTCAGTAAGATTTTTTTTCTTTTCTTTTTTGTTGTAAATAAATTCATACTTTTTTTCAGCAAGGATGAATTAAATTGATCGAAAGTGACAGTAAAGACATTTATAATGTTACAAAATGTTTCCACAAAAATATTAAGCAGCACAACTGTTTTAAACATTGACAATAATAGGAAATGTTTCTTGAGCAGCAAATCAGCATATTAGAATGATTTCTGAAGGATCATGTGACACTGAAGACTGGAGTAATGATGCTGAAAATTCAGCTATGCATCACAGAAATAAATTACAGTTTAAAATATATTCAAATAGAGAAGTTATTTTAAATTCTAATAATATTTCACAATATTACTGCTTTTACAGTCATTTTAATCAAATAAATGCAACCACAAGTCATTTACTGAATAAATATTTCAATCATATTGTGTACTGCAACATGTAGTAGGTCATCCGGGTATTCCATGCATACAGAAAATGTGCACATATTGCAGAAATACTAAGTGTAGTATGACAGTATGCGATAAAATGCGCACAATAATAGGGCTTGTAGTCGTTTGGGCTGATTAGAAGCAGCTGCTCATCTTTGTTACTAAATTATCATCATTGTACAATCTGTGAAGGTTAATCATGAAGTCAGGCTATAAAGAGCTCCTAGAAAACACACACACACGCAGCTCTATTAACACTGCAGAGGCTTAATGATGTGCATAATACTTGTGTGGGCCAAACAGACTGTTATGTATTCAAATTAAATGCAGTACCACAGTACTTTTGGGCCAATCGCTCTGTTTTTTAATGTAGAGAGCGGGGGTGTTTGAATTGCATGTGTACAATGTGAGCTGTGCATTTTAAGTCTGTAACCACTTCATGTATATTCAAGGCAAATTTGTCACCTTTTTTATACAGTTTCCATGCGTGAAATAAATCCTTTTGTTGCAATACCCGTTTGATTCATTCATGTGCATGGAACAGCGAATAACTTTAAAAAAAAATAGCATGGTACAGTATTTGGATACTTAAGCCACACTTGGAAAATGTGTAAATATCATGCAAAGATAACAGTGACATCTATTTTATATATATATACAAATTTATCAGAGGTGAGGATATGATGTCAAATGAGGTAATGGCAGTTTTACATCTGAACTCAAACTGTAAAGATCCCATTAAAGCTCTTACCCAGGCCTGTGTCGCCCAACTGGCCCGAAGGGGTCAAAGCGGGCACCAGGGGGCACAGCGCCGGGAGGAAGGACTCCAGGAATACCAGAGGAGGGGTCAAACCCTGAGCGAGGAAACCCGGCACGTAATGGATCGACGATCATCCCTCCTGCTCTTCCCCTGGAGAAAGAACCAATTAATAATTCAGTGAGCACGGTCGTTCCTTGAAGGTGCACTTATTCATTTGAGTTCATAAATATTCTTTGATATCTGTTATTCTAAGAGGGCAAACCAAGCATTTTTTTCCCCCAGCTGTTCTATTCTACATAAGGGTGGTCCAAAAATACTTCTGTAATCTACAGGTCAACATGCATGATGCATTTAAAGATGACTGTTTTGACAAATAATTGATGGGATTTCTCACCCGAAAGGGTCCAGATCGGCACCGCCTGCAGCAAATGGAGCCATCGGGTCAGGCCTAAAAAAAACAACACACAAAGAAAGACATTTCGGAAACGTTCTGTTACACTGTATTAAAAAGAAGTCTTACATTTTTTATTTCCGCATTTAACATTTTCAAAATTAAATTTTTTATTTTTCTTGAAATTAGTTTTAGCAGTCCTGTGTTCAGTATTTTCTGGTTAGTTGTTCTGTTGGCTGGTTAGTTGAATGTCAGTTAAAAGCTGTGACAGTTGTTGTTTATATACACATACATATGTGACCCTGGACCACAAAACCAGTCTTAAGTGTCAATTTTTCGAAATTGAGATTTATACATCATCCGAAAGCTGGATAAATACGCTTTCCATTGATGTATAGTTTGTTAGGACAGGACAATATTTGGCCAAGATACAATTATTTGAAAATCTGGAATCTGAGGGTGCAAAAAATCAAAATATTGAGAAAATCGCCTTTAAAGTTGTCCAAATGAAGTTCTTAGCAATGCATATTACTAATCAAAAATTAAGTTTTGATATATTTACGGTAGGAAATTTACAAAATATCTTCATGGAACATGATCTTTACTTAATATCTTAATGATTTTTGGCATAAAAGAAAAATCAATAATTTTGACCCATACAATGTATTTTTGGCTATTGCTACAAATATACCCCAGCGACTTAAGACTGCTTTTGTGCTCCAGGGTCACATATAGATAGATAGACTTTTGAATGACAGTGTATATATACACATATATAATATAGCATTTGTGGCATTTTTGCATCATTCAATGCCATAAAATGCAAACAGCCAAACACACACAGTTTTTAACAACATCAAAGGTCGTTATTTTTGTTGATTTGATTGATTGTTCATTTTTCAGTATATAGATGATTATTTGGTGGTGTGGCACAACATTTGCCGGTGTGACTCACCTCAGTGTTTTGAAAGTCTACGGGCTCTTTGGCTTGAACTCGAGACGGTGGCTTGGCAGCAAAAACATGTTTGACTGAATTACATCACGCCCACAAGCAAGTCGTTCTGAGATACTCCTTCCTAGTATATATATAAATGTTTGAGTGGGTTTCATCCAACCAGACTTTACAAAATCCCCCAAACTGGCTGTTTTTGATGAAAGTGATGCTGGCACAGGGCATCTCTCACCCTGTCTCTCAGTCCACAGTCTGCAGCGCCAGACACACAAAACCCTCAGTGCTTCAAAAAATAGACACAGCGCAGCAGTGAGAGCTCTCACTCTAGACTCACACTGCTAAATATTAAATAAGAAAGTTGCTTTGTTTCACAGAACTAATCGTTGCCTGGGTTGCGTACGTATATGTGGGGCGGAGCTATCAAAATAGGGGCAAGACCCTTTTGGGGTAGGGGCGTGTTTGTTTTGGTGATTTCAAATATCAACATTGGCTACCAGAAATCGTTTACTCTGCCTTTAACAAAGACTCTTTTAAAATCCCTATGGAAAAAAAAAAGTGCAAAAAATCAGCGCCACTGAAAAACTGGATGGGCACTAATGCACTCTATTGCAGAAAAGTTTCATTCTGCAGATAATTATCCAATCCTTTGAAATCAGAAAACTATTTCATCATACTAACAGTAAATGTTTTGTTTTTGTACTTCAGCATTTTTTAAATCATGGACATACAGACCATGAAAGCATAAACACAGGGGACTGACTATCCTAAATAAGTTCCTATTTCATATTTTAACTGTTTTTAAACAGTACAAATTATTCAGTGTGCATATTTTCACCTGCCATCAAACAGATGTTTCCGAACAGAAGTTGAAATCACCTGGGGCGGTTACCATGGCAACAGCTGGCTGCTCGAGTACTGTTAGGGCAACTGTGCTATACAAATCTCCTGCATCCTACAAAGACTGCATCTCAAAATGACCCAAAAATTCTCTTTAAAAGTTGACACCCCTGAAATCAATCTATAATTTGCATGAGATAAAGGAATGAGACACTGAAAGTTCACCAGTTGGGTGGGTGTCTGCTTGGAGGGCCTCTGGTCGGGATCAGGAGAGGATCACTGTGAGGGTCCCTTAAGTTTGAGACTCTTTCGCTTTTTGTCTTCTTCTCCGTCTTTCCTTGACGCTCCTCTTTTTTAGGGGGCAGCAGTGAGGACTTTAGCTTCGTGATCAGCTCGTCTGTGTTCTTAAACACACTGAAAGAGCAAAATGGATATGTTAGAACATGTATACATTTCTTTTTGATTCATCTATCCAGATTTTATTGATGTGTCTTATGATTTATGATGGCTAGAGAACACGTATGATATTGAAACTGTCCCAAATACGTAGGCATTTAGCATTTTTTAGAGAAAGAGCTTGAATATGTCCAGAGCACTATGGCAAAAGAAATGATCTTTGTAAAAATGTCATGATGCAAGTGATTTCAAACACTGAAGATTCTCAGATGAACGTAAAGTTTGAAAAAATACTGCATTTATCTGAAACAGAAATTTCCAACATTATAAATGTTTTTTGATCAATTTAAGCCATGCTTGGCAAATGAAAACTATCAACATCTTTCAAAAATATAAACATTTCCAAACCTTTAGTTTATACAATTGTATATACACGAATATAAATAATGTTGCATCATTGTGCATATAATTTTTATAATTCTCCTCCCCTAACCCATGACTGTGTTGTGAAAAATATAACCTATAATAAAGAAATCTAAATTTGCAACATATATGAAACTGGCCTGAAATGGTCAACAGGCCAGAAAATGGTGTAAAAGCATTTCAGACAATTTGCACTGATGACGGAGAGCATAAAAACCATGAAGCTGCGCCAAATCAGTTCACAAACCTTTCAAAAGTCTGCAGATTGGCTTCATCAACATACTCACTGACGTTAACTGTGAGATCGGTTACTTTTTCTGTCGTGGAGTCCTGCAAAAGATGTGGAAAAAAGTGTAAAAAACATTCAGTCTGACATTAATCTGTTATCCGTGATGACAGGCCGTGCAGTAATGACTGAACTGCATGTAATTCAACTTTATTACCATTAGATTGAAGATCAGGGTTGAATCCACCGTGAAGGCTTTGAGCAGCAGGTTTGACTTGTCATCATTTGATCTGTATCTGAGTGCGTACAGCTCCTTGCTTTCACTCCAGCCGGGTGGAAGCAGTTCTGACTTCTTCTCTCCATCTTTAGGCTGTGTGGAAAATCGATCATTTCTAATCAGGCAAATGTTTGCGATACCTTGCACCAAAACAAACTAGTAAACCATTTGCTGCAGATGTATGTTAGCTTGATATTTTACGTAATGCAATGACAATCAGACATTTTAAGTGTGACTTAAGTGTCTTTTTGTATGACATTTTAGTAAACACACATGCCTGCTAGTTTTTGCAACAGATTATCACGTATAAACAGTCAAAGTCACCACTGACTTACCTCATCTCCAATGCCCAGACATTTATAGCCATTTTTCACTATTTCCCAGTGTACAAAACAAATCAGAGCATCTTGGGAACAGGTTATAGAGTTTGCTACGCAGTTGAAGAGCAGCTCCAGTCCTGCCATCTTTAAACACAGTGATATTCAGAAGAAATGAAACCAAAACAAACCGCTGTCTGTGTGAAAATAAACAGCGACTTCACTCTGAATGCATGGCGTATGGACGCCGCAGTTGTAACACTAAATATTTAGTTTGAATTTTAATATTACGTGCGTTTTGCAAGGTCTACAGGTTTTTTTTAAACTTGAATTTCACAAATGTTTATTTCAAAACAAATCAGAGCATCTTGGGAACAGGTTATAGAGTTTGCTACGCAGTTGAAGAGCAGCTCCAGTCCTGCCATCTTTAAACACAGTGATATTCAGAAGAAATGAAACCAAAACAAACCGCTGTCTGTGTGAAAATAAACAGCGACTTCACTCTGAATGCATGGCGTATGGACGCCGCAGCTGTAACACTAAATATTTAGTTTGAATTTTAATATTACGTGCGTTTTGCAAGGTCTATAGGTTTTTTTAAACTTGAATTTCACAAATGTTTATTTCTAATTTTGTTTGTCATGCTGAAGAGGTCCGACCAGAAATATTCCCGACTGGAAACAACTCACTGAACCTTCGTTCCGCTGACATTAAAAGCGAAGGGACACTTTTGGAAAATTGTTTTTCACATAATTTCAAGCATCTGATTTATAACACGCTTTGACACTAATCAAACAGAAACTGATATACCATAGCACCAGTTATATTACTTACATACATTTTAACCTGAATATTTTAGAGTTTATTCGAATTATTACGGTCGTTTGTTTGTTTGCCTGGAAATGTTGGGCGTTTTGTATGTGGAGTTTAGTGTGTTGTCCTATAAAAGATCACAATGTAAGTATTACAGCTTTTAATTAATTTATACACTACCTTATACAATGTGATACCATTCACAGTACTTTCTTGTAACATTTAAGCACTTTCTTTCAGTCACCACCTGCATGTAATGGAGCCTTTTGATAAAGTTATATATATATATATATATATATATATATATATATATAAAGTGAAGTGATGTGACATGCTAGAAATAACAATAACAATAACAATAGCTAAAAATAACAATAACATCAACATCTGGTTTGACTTACAGTGCATTGAAAACACATTGCACAGAAGCTTACTTCAGAGAGCAGGCCTGCCATCAAATCAGTGCTTCAGTGTTGCTTACATTCAGTTACAGCTCTTACAAGAGCCCTACGAACCGTTTAACTTTTATTTAAAGAACACTTAGATTCAAGTCTGGGACTTTCTCCTCTAGTAAACTATAAATACTGTATTAAACAAAATGCTGTATATAACTATAAACCACACTGAAAATCTGATCAATGAAGTGCGCTGTGAATTTCTGGAAAGTTATGCAGTTTGACATGAATTTGAGTGTTTCATGTAGTCTTTTAATGGGGTTAGTAAGATTTTTTTTTAATTAATACTTTTATTCAGCAAAGATGCATTAAATTGATCAAATTTGTCAGTAAAGACATTTATAATGTTACAAAAAAAAAGAAGCAGCAGCACAACTGTTTTCAATAATTTGATAATAATAAGAAATGTAAGAACTGCAGCAAATCGTCATATTAAAATGATTTCTGAAGGATCATGTGATGCTGAAGACTGGAGTAATGATGCTGGAAATTCAGTTTGCATCACAGGAATAAACCTGTGATATTATTTTAAACAGGAATTATTTTAAATTTTAATAATATTTCACTGTATACTATTTTATTGGATTTTTCAACACATAAATGCAGCCGTGGTGAGCATTAGAGACTTCTTTCAGAAACATTTAAAAATCTTAATGACCCAAACTTTGGAACAGTAATTATATAAGAAAAATGTTGTTTAATATCGTTTATATAGCATGTCACACTGCAGAACATTTCTGTCACAGCTTGACATTTCTTGTCAACTACTCATTTGCTCTCAAGGGAGTTTTGAAAATGGTCATGTTGCCATTATGGCCTCCAGATGTGTGTTTGATGCTAACAGCAATCAAGAGCCTGTGCGTCAGCTCAGTGTCGTCTCTGTATGATGGCACTCAAAGTTCAAGGGTTCATGATTCATGGCTCCCCTTCAAGAAATGTTTATACTACAGCATAAGAGTAATACACAGTACTGCCCATCTACATTAGTCTTTACTGCTGTCATATGTGTACTCAAAAGTATCTGCTTTAATGAAAAGTGATAAATCATGGCAACAGTATATAATGTCTAACTAGACTTTTGACTAGACCACTTTTCATCCTAGTTTAGCCAAAAACGGTCCATGAGGCAGTCTGACCGACATCTAAAGCAACCAACGTGCTGTTTAGGTGCAGAATAGAGGTATGCTTTTACATTTATTAGCAATCTGACTTATGATTTTTACCTGGCTTATGATAAGATGTGAAAAAATCTCAAAGATTTATGGTGAAGGTGCTAAATCTATATCTTTAGCTATATATGCAATCACCTGTGGATTAATCTTGCAATAGTAAAATTTATTTATTTATTTCTTTTTGACTTGTTTTTAGAAAATCTAGCTTGAATTGGGAAATTGCACATGATACACCTGACTTGAAGTCACCTGAAAAAATGCTGTAGAATAATTGCAAACTGCAAAAATCCCTCCGTAGCAACTGCATAGCAATGTCCTAGCAACCACCGACAACACTCTAGCATTTGTCACTTTTTCCTCTCGCCGCAGTAAACTTAAAAACTGTAGGTCTTCAGCTTGGAAAGATTAGATCAGTTCAGTTCTCATAGTCTTGAGGATTTACTGTAAGCCAGAGCCAGCGGTCTTGAAGGCATATGTTGACTTCAGATCACATACATAAAATAAGGGCTCATAGTTTCAGTAGGTTTGTCCACACAGGTTCAGGTTTGCCTGAGAATAAGGCCACCATGTGTGAAGGTTTTCAGCTGTTTGCCTAATGAGGTCCAGACATGACGCAGCATTATCATGAAAAACAAACTATTCAGTTGCACATCAAAGCCAGACCAGCTCCATGAAGCTACTTATCACAACATAGTAACAAGTCACGTGATAAATCATCCAAATAAACTGTATTATGGAGAGTCATCTGACAGTTAGTACTTCCATAGTTTATTTTATTTATATAATTATTTTAATTATTTTGTTATTCTAGCATCATGCCATACATCTGCAGAAGTTTAGACACAAAAACATTTCTGTAACCATAAATTGTGGTTACTTAGTAAAGGTTTTACTGCATGACAAATTATAATAGTGTGGTTGCAAGTAGCATTGTAGTAAAATCAAACATTATCTTCAAACGAAATCTTCAAAACATTGCCTTAAAAACATGCAAATAGACGTGCAACTATAAAATACAATGATAGATAGATGGATGGATGAGGGTGAATCCATGCTGAGTGTGAGATGTTGTTAGCGTGCTTTGGCTGCTCTTGTCCTGTTGAGCACATTACACACAGTCCAGGTGGAGCATATGGTCCTTGTTTGAGATGCTCTGCTACTTTATATATCTGAGCTAAAGTCTGTGAACACTTGAGCTTCTTTTCTTTGCACCTCAGAGTGAGTCTCCACTTCTTGTCTTTCTCTTTTACAGACAGATACTGCTAGACCGTTCCATACACCTCTTCAACCTGTCAGTCAGATAATATTGTTAAACCTTCTATTAAACGTTACTGTAAATGTTCAGTTTTGAAATGTCTGACAGGAGTGTGGATTGGTCCCTGAATGATTTTTTGAATCAAATTAATATTAAAAGGATATAAATAATAAACTTCACATTTTATTCAGTTTGAGATAGTTTGACAGAAATATGTCTTCAAAACTCACTCCCACATTCCATCTGTGGAATATTGGAGGAATGTTTCATGCATTCCATGTACATTCTCCACTCCAGACCTGGAGACTTTAAATAGTGTCAGTCATCTGTATGTCTGTGTTTTAAAGGGGTCATATGATGCGATTTCAATTTTTCCTTTCTCTTTGGAGTGTTACAAGCTCTTGGTGCATAAAGAAGATCTGTAAAGTTGCAAAGACTAAAGTCTCAAATCCAAAGAGATATTCTTTATAAAAGTTAAGAGTCAGCCACACCTACCTAAAACGGCTTGTTCTAACACGCCCCCACATACCTACGTCACGATCTCGGAAGATTTGCATAACGCCGCCCAAATATTCACGCAAAGAAAGAAGGCGTAACTTTAATTCTCACTGTAGTATTGTTGACGCTGCAGCCATGTCCTGAAGACGCTGTGTGCTTCGTTGTGAAAGCGAAACTACTTTGTTTGGCCTTCCAAAAGAGGACAATATCTGCTTCGTCATGCCTGGAGCTGATCCGTGCTGGTAACTGAGGAAATATAGAGGAGAAACATTAATGTACAGTATGTGGAAAATAATGTGTTTTTTGAACTTTAAACCGCATAAACACATTTCAAAACACCAAACACACAAAATAATGTTCTTTTTAGCAACATCATATGACCCCTTTAAGGTGAACTAATGAATGAGTTCAGGCTAAAGGGAAACAAGAAGGTGACCAGGTCAGCGTTAAATGAAACTACCACTTTAAAAGTCTGTAGCAAGTCTTACTTCCGTCACATGCTTGAGGTATTCGGCCAATCACAACACACTGGATAGCTGGCCAATCAGAGCACACCTAGCTTTTCAGACGATGAGCTTTGTAAAAATCGACGCGTTTCAGAAAGGCGGGGTATAGAGGAGAAACATTAATGTACAGTATGTGGAAAATAATGTGTTTTTTGAACTTTAAACCGCATAAACACATTTCAAAACACCAAACACACAAAATAATGTTCTTTTTAGCAACATCATATGACCCCTTTAAGGTGAACTAATGAATGAGTTCAGGCTAAAGGGAAACAAGAAGGTGACCAGGTCAGCGTTAAATGAAACTTTAAAAGTCTGTAGCAAGTCTTACTTTTTTGGCAGAGGCAAATCAATCTTCCTGAAAGGAACAAAAATGTAATATTTTTATATATAAAAGGGTTTTTGAATATAAAACAACTTGCACTGTAATATCATTTTGATCTTTTGTTTTCCAGTAAAAATATCAAAACACAAGATAAAATATCTTGCAAAGCAAAATTGCTTGTTTTTCTACTTGTTTTTAGAAAATATATATATTCTTTCTCCCATTGTAAAATTGCATATTTTTCACTTTTTTGTATATATATGATCCACCTAAAAACTTGCAGTGTAAAATGAAATTTTTTCTAGTATAATTATATAAACATCCCTAAACCAAGATAATTTAAAAATAAGATAAAAATTGATTTGTTATTCATGTTTTTTTTTTCCCAATGGGAAATAGTTTTCTTTTTAAAAATTATACAATTTTGTGATGTTTGTGCATATAAAAATGTTTCACTTGTATAGTGCACATATGGTTCCTTTTGAAGCTTTTTTGTCCATTCATTCCAAGGACACAATAAGCGTTCATTTCATGCATTTCTCCAAAACATGTTATTTTGTTTAATCCGGCGGAAATTGAAACAACATGAGGGTGAGTAAATAATGACAGTTTTCATTTCTGGATGAACTTCTCTTTTAAATTAA